CCCCCGACACGCTTCCTTATTTGAATTGTTCAACACGTCGCTACCTTCGCGTCCAACCGTTTCTCTGGCGCGCGAGTTGGGTTGGCGTTCGTCGTTCCCGTTTTGTTTCTCGCGGAGGACGCGTGCACGGCTAGCGAAGTGTTTGTCTCCCGGGCGTCTCGGTAGGTGCTCGGTTGAAAGTTAAAGTGACTGTGTACGTACTGTGAAAAGTTTGTCAAAACTGAGACCAGGTGGTGGCCTGGTTAGCACGAGTACATACTGCTGTGATACAACACTTGGGCTTCCAGAGATGTCTTTAATTAGTAGTTGCCCCGGCTCGCACAACGCACAACGCAGAAAACCGGCTAGTGTTTCGAGGGTGACTGACCCCCAGATGCGGAGATGAAAATAACGCTTTTGATCTTGTAAAGCGAAAGCGTCGAGCAACAAACGATGATGTAATCATAAATAATGAAACAGCCCTTATGATGAAGAGCACACGAATGTGGCGAGAGAGAGAGAGGGAGAGAGAGAGAGAGAGAGAGAGAGAGAGAGAGAGAGAACTTCCGGCCGACGGCGGGAGTCGATATCGGGAAGGCGCCCCCTCTCCGCCAGTGGAGCAATAAGACAAATCCCCGTGGCAGGAGTGCAGACAGGTACAACCAGAGTACCGTGATGTGCTTTACTCTCCCCTTAGCGCCCTGCAGGACACGGCGTGGTCAACGCCCTCCTCGCAGTTTTAACATTTTCTGCCCCTCGACGCAAAGGTGGTGGTGGTGTTCACTCGCCCGCTAGCATACTTGAGCACCCCTTTTCCACCCTTCTCTCTCTCTCTCTCTCTCTTTCTCTCTCGAGCGCGCGCGCGCGCTCCCTCTTTCTCATTCTCTCTGTCTCGCCACTCTATTTGTCTGGCGCAATGAGTGCGGGGGCAGGGTGGGGGCAGAAGGGCCTCGTTCGTCTGATTGTCCTCAGAGGCAGTGACCCTCCAAGACGTTTCAACCCCCCCGCCACCCCTCTTTGCCTTCCCGCCGCCCCCCTTTTCTCTATTTCCACCCCTTGTCCTGTAGTAGTAGCGCCGTGGTGTCGGAGCAGACGACGACGACGCGGCGGTTAGCGAGTGCGGCGGTGACTAACCGGGCGGGACGACGGGAGTGGCCGGGGAGTACCCGCAGCACACTCGACTTCCTTTCTGCTTTCAGAGCAGGCGTTCCTCTTGCCCCCTTCTCCTCCCCCCCCCTCCCCCTCACCGGTGCGCGGCGGCGGCGGCGGCCTCACTCAACCCGCACAACCCGATAAGAGAGAAGGGGAACATGCATGGGAAACCGCCGGCGGCGGGGCACTCAAGCACTCCCCGCCCACAGAAAAGAGTGTTAGCGCAAGGGCCCAAAAAATATCTGCGCACCTGTGTACACGAGCGGCGTTCTTTTGTGGCGTATTTTGCGGTGGCCGGCTTTTGTTACAAAGAAAAAAAAACCCGCTGATGATCGAGGACACGGCGAAGGACGCCGGCCGTCGCCCCCCTGCCCCCCGACCCTCCGCTTCCTTCCCTTCCTCCCTCACGAAGCCGTACGGCCGTGATTGGCGTGCTGAGCTGCTGGTAATGGACATTGGCACTCGGGCCCGGAGTCGGAGAGGATACACTGAAAACTGGTTGGCCAAAAAAATTGGCGCCTTTTGACGCCAACTATATTTGGTGTATATTTTAGTAGACGCAAATTTTTGCCGTCTTCTGACGCCAACCAGTTGGAGAGAACACCCATGCTATGGCTATGCTCCCCTCTCGCAGTGCCACCTCCAGGGGGAAGACGCTTTCAGGCTGACTGAGAGAGTGTGCGGAGCGGTCCCACACATCATCGCGAGCCTATCCCCGCCCCGCCCCGACGACGGCGCCCCCGCTCCCGCTTGGACGCTGGACATATTGGCGGGATTCGCTTTACGAGCGCTTTAGCCCCGCATCTGCTTGGCTATGGCAGGCAACCTCGTTCCGAATGCCGCCGCTCCCGGCCGCCCACCCGCCCAACCACCCCCACACTCTTTCCTCCGCTCTCCTCCGCTCTCTCTCTCTGGCTGCTCTCCTCCCTCCGCCCTTTCGTCCCTTCCCTCGTAACCCCCAACCTCCCACTCCCCATTCGCCATTCCCCTCACCACTTCCTTCGCGACCTCCTCACAATCTCTTCTTCTTCTCCTCTTTCTCTGCTCCTGCATCTAACGCCACCGCAGCCGCCCCTAAGTATGTGATATCTTAGCCTCTCATTCCTGTGTGTGTGAGAGACATTCAGAGAGAGAAAGAGAGAGAGAGAGAGAGAGAGAGAGAGAGAGAGAGAGAGAGAGAGAGAGAGACAGACAGACAGACAGACAGACAGACAGACAGACAG